TCTTCAAACACTGCAATCTCTTGAAGTGGTTTTTAAACCTAGTATTATAAAAACTCTATCATTCTGTTCTAATAGCTGAAACATATTCCTGTGAGTTTTCATTTGTCGAATGAACTGTTTGTCAAAAACAGAATACATATATTTTAGAACAATTTTCTTTTCAAAATGTGAATGAAATGTTTTGCTTTTTATGTATTTTTTTATGTATTGATTTGATAACTTTGAACTAAACAGATTTTCTATTAGCTTCAGATCTTGATCAAAGTTTGGCACCCAGTTCATAGGAGTGCTTATATTATTTTTCTGACATTGGTTTATTGATAGGTTTGCAAATGTGTATCAGACTGTGCAATCTCTCCATGAGTTGGTTTTGAAACCCATTATGGGATTCTGAGATACATTACCAAGGATATTATTACAAGATAAATCATTTGCTTCATTGAACACATACAACAATGCATATTTCCACTGAGATCAGTGACCTTTGATGTGTATCACCAGTGATTAGTCAAGTAGAAACAGTCAAAATATTTTATCAGATTTTCTCAATTTTTGCATGATATTTTCATACAGGACATCTGTTGTTCAAACTCAGGGAAGACTTTATACTGATGAATAAGGTGACCAAGTTTGATGAAGTTTAGAATAGAATTAGTAAAGTTATTATGCACACAATAATAATTATTAACGACGACGACGCCGCCGCCGCTGCCGACGACGACGGACAAAATTTTCCCCTTAATATACCTTTCCCTTCCATCTTTGATGATAAGGGCAAGGTAATAAAATATGAGATCATCTTCATCAATAGATTGTTGATCACTACAAAATTATCAATGAAATGATGTGCTCGTAGTATTTGTTTTTTTTTATCCAGAAAGTTGCCTGAACAAAGCAATCTGACGACTGTACCAGTTGCACTTCATACATTGCACTCCACTTTCGTGATTATTTTATCAAACCTGGCAGTTAGCATCACTAACCCTGGTGACTTTCATCAATTCTCGGGGGCAGACATCTGGGCATTTTCACTGCTTGGCAACCGTCGCGGTGAAAACACCAAAAATTCTCAAAAAAATGTACTTTGGGCTAGTTGTTTAGACTCTCCTGATCAGTGTAACAAAATTACCTATAGATGTACAACATGTAAGATTGGGTTGTTCAGGATTGTCTCATAGTTGAGTTTGAGTTGTTTTCACAGAGCAAATAGAAATGCATGGTAGAGTGATGCACGTCTAAGCAACGTATAAAACCCTCTGACATAGAATAGTTGTTTCTCAAAATCTTTTTCCCACCTTATTCATGACTGTGACCGTTTTACACACAATTCCATTCCTGAACCCACACAAATCAATAGAACATAACCAAATGCACCCTACTGTAAAATACTTTATTTTTGCTGGAATTAATTTTCGCTGAAAAGACATTTTGGCTGTTTTGTATGGAATTCATTTTCACTGATTTATGAGTTGAATGTAAAATATAGGGAAAAAGATATACTCGCTGTATTTTATTTTCACTGAATCATTCCTTCAGCGAAAATAAAGTAATTTACAGTATCTTGTCATTCATGCTGACCCATTAACTCAAATATATAATTGTTGATACAAGGAGTTTTTCTGGCTGCTTGAAAATTGGAAAAGTAGTCCTAATTTATAAGAATTGTCCAATATACAGGGGATGCATAGACAGAAAGACAATCCACAAGATTTGTCCAAATTGACAATGTACAAGCTGTCAAAGAAGCTTCAAGGATGATGTAAATGATAATTCAGCAGCTTATTCTAAAAAACACAACAAAGGTGAACATCCTGAATTTTCAAAATGGCAGATTAGATTGCCGATAGTTGCCACCATGATTCTGTGGTCTTGCTGTAGGATGCATTCAATATTGCAGGTTGTTACTGTTTCTTTAGTACCACAGGAAACAAGACGATAGGTTTTATCTACTGAGGACTCTGGAGGACCTATGGAGGACAATACTATTCAATTCCTCCATATGGCTCTCAAGAGACCCCAGCAAGACACAAACCACTGCCGGCATTTTGACTGACACTTAGGTACTTCTTCTCAACATTGAAATTTACGCATTTAAAAGTTAGAGTGGTGAATAGTGTGGAGATTTGCAGACATTTTTCTATAATACATACATTCATTATGTAATGAAAACAAAAAAACTGTTGCACATGTATACAATTATCTGTCTTTTATTGTACATGGTGAAGTC